ACCCATATTTCATTATCTTTTATTAAAATATATAAATTGTGTTTTGGAGCTATTGAAAGTAAGTTAAGGCTTATTTAACTAACTTGAAGCTTGTGTTTGATTTTGCTAAAAACACATTTTTATATATTTTAATAAAAGATAATGAAATATGAGGTTGAAAATGGAGATAAATATTAATGTAATTAAAATTAGTTATTGACTTTGATTTAAATTTTTATCAATTTTTTTTATATAAATCAAATATACGCTTAAATGCTGAAAAAGATAAAGAGTAATTTCACGAATAAAAGTTATGTAAAATATTTCTTTATTTTTAAACTTGGCTAGATGGGTCCTCTCGTTTTGTATTACAAGATTGCGCTTGTGGAAGGACGAGTACTCATTCAATCAACTCTCATTTTAAAACTTTTCTCGTCCCTAGTTGGTTGCTTGCCATTCTTCTCTCCTAACAACGCTCCTACCTAAGATAAACAATGATCGTGCCTGAATCAACATAATTCTTGAGTTTACACAATTTTAAAATTTTACCACTGACCTCTGAACTGATGATCCCGGTATCGTAAGTTCCAGATTTGTTACGCCATGTAATATGTAAAGTGAATGCACCTTATACAGATGATATATTTTGTAAATTTTGAACTAACCAGAAGCTTACTGCATATAGCTTCCGCTTCTCTTGCTACTTTGGTACCAATACTTCTCATATGTCGTGTTTATCGGCTGGGCAAAAAGCCCTCCTAACTGACAAAGCAATCTGATCCAAGTCAACTTAGATCGATTTTCACAAGCTTCACGGTTTTGGTTGATTACTGTGTAACCTAAACTGAATTTCGTCATGTTGCGGAGTAAACTTTCAACCCTATCACGTCCAACTTTAACTAACCTAAACATAATATTAATACTTTTATGACTTGCAAACTCGAGATTTGCACAATATCAAATATCGAGTTTGATGCTTAAACTCGAGATTTGTACAACAAACTCAATATTTGATACTAGGTAAATCTCAAGTTCGAAGTTAGACAGTTTGGATTGGTTCAATTTCTACAACATGATTGGATTGGTTTGGGCCTCAATTTACCTAAACCGACTTGGAATTCAGTGCCGAGTTGTGCCCAAAGTCGACCAGACCTGATCCACGTCCAACCCTGCTGGAGGGTA